AATGTCCTCAATGACAGAAAAGTGTACTCACCCCTAGAATGTAACAGTTGGTCGAATTCTGTTAGTGCAGGAGTGTTTAGAGATTGTGATCGAAATTATTTGTTTCTAGAAACTCCTCCTGTGATCACGCTGGACCCACCGCAAACAGTTGTTTCTGTTGAACCCAAAGGATCCGTGTCAATTGTTTGTTCGGCCACTGGCATACCACAGCCTACTGTTTATTGGGTGATGGAAAATGGAGAAAGAGTGGAAGGAAAGACAATGCAGCTGAGAAATTTGATCAAGGTTCCGTAGAAATATTTTTGCGAGTTATCCAAAAATACGGGTCTCCTTCTAGGATACATCAGTCACTTGTAAAGCTGAAAATAAGGCCGGTGGTACTCAGGAGGTCATTCAGATACAGATTTCCGGTAAGCAAAATGTTTTACAAGTCTTTATTCTCGACAAAGTGAGATTTCAGGACCTGGCACTCCTCCCAATGAAATCGTGCTGTTACCTATGCCAAATCAGGTGATCAACGTGGAATGGACAACCCCTGATGAGGTGAATGGAAGAATCACCAACTACATTGTGCATTATGGAGAAGTTCCAGAAGGTTTGTTGTCAACCTTGATGACTGGCTTTCTTTCCAGTTGCCTTCAACTCTCTTCTTTTCAGGAGCTACGGAGCCGACGGAATGGAAGGTGGCTACTGTAGATGGATTAGATGTTAACCATCAACTACAGCAACTAGACCCGAAAAAGAACTATGCTGTTCGCGTACAGGCAGTTAGCGATCGTGGTCCTGGAGTCATCTCAGCACCTCAAATGATTCGCACACTTCCTCTAGGTTACTTCCTTTTCTATGATCACTGAACCTATCCGGAGTACACTGAAAAACCTCTTTGCTTCCAGCTCCCGCTCAAGTTGTGAATCCAGATATCTCGGTCTTCGATAATAATTCCGTGATTATTGAATTTGTACCACCAGCAGATCCTGAATCGCCAGGAAAACAAATCAAGGTAAGTAATGTCTGCTCAAAGCGACTGTTACAAACCGCACTTTAAAAAAATTGACGGTTTTGGGTAGCTATTTGGGAACAACTGCACTACTAGGTTTCTGATCAAGTATCCTTTATTTGCGTTCTCCTTCTGAAATGAAGTTGGCTGGTTTTGCTCTTCAATTTCTGTCCTGTGAACTCTTCTCTTTGCTTCGCAATCCTGTTATGCTCTTTCCTTCCACTTGGTGTTGTCTCCATCAACCAAAACGCTTCTTTAGGATCCAGTACATTTAAATTTTCAAAAAGCAATCGACAAATAATGTCGGGCTTTCGTCAGTATGCTGACACTTCCCATCCCTTTTAGGCTTATTCGCTACTCTTTTAGATACATAAATGGTGATTTTTTTGTTTTCAATTTCCTCTTGATTTCCGTCTACTCGAAACTACATTTTGGAAAGCGAAAACGGCAAAGTTTTCACAACCAACTTTCAACATTACCTGTGATATCCTTTTCACAATGTGCTATTGCTTACATCTTGTTTAATCCAACCCTTTCTCTCACTAGACTATCAGCAACTTTGTAAAGAAATTTCAGAAGTTACATTGTCATAACAACCCAAGTTGCAACGGACGTAAATGTTATGTGCTTCAGAAGATGAACTTGAAAAGCTAAATTTCCTTTCTAGTAGACATGTTTTGAGTGACGAAGCGTAAAATTGAGACTATTAGCGCACCAAGAGGCACTGAGAAATCTACAACTCCTTTTTTTTCTCTGTCATTTTTATGGCGCATTCTGTTTATTCGTTCGGTGTCGCTTAAGGCGTCTTACCATCATTTTGATGCTCTGCGACTAACTATCACAATTTCCGTATTTAGCAACTGTGAGTGAAATGATTAGCATTTCGAGGTAGAGGAAGTTACTATCGTATGTTGTTATCGTTGAAAAGTTGTACTGTTTTTGATAGCCGTCGTCCATAACCTTGGCTAAATATT